TTTCGACGGATATTCGTCACCTCGTGTGAACCATCCTGAGCTCTGCTTACCAAAAATATGCGGTAATCGCGCGATAGTTAGCATTTGCATACATGAAAACACTTTGGCGATGCTTTCGTTTTTTGTTTTTGTTTTGTTTTACATTTACATCCAGCGTTAGGCCCACTGAATTGTTTAAATGCTTAAATAATTGAAAACATAAATTATGTGGATTAAATTCTGATATAATTTACAATGAAACTTTATAATGTACGGTATTTTATAAGATTGTTTTTTTTTAATAATAATAAAAATAAAATAGTTAAAATTTAATTGAAAAACCCAGATTTTACATCTATAGACGTAAGTTGATTTACTTATTATTATTATTATTATTATTATTATTATTATTATTTTTCTTTTTTTTTTTTTGGTTCCTAATTAGCAATAAGGAAGGAAAATTTCATAATAGTATCTTGTCTTTTCATGGCAAAACAGATATCTGTATCTCTATCTATGTATCTTAATCATGACCATTCATTTATAGAAAAAAAAAAAAAAAATAAGGATTATTTTTTAAAACAGATATAAATAAAATAGATAACACCTTTATTTAAAAAAAAACAAAAAACAAAAAAACATGTTTTGCATAGACGCAAGTTGAATTAATATATGATGATTGCATCTCATTAATTAAACAATTTTTATGCATTTTGAGCACTGTTATTATTATTATATTATTATTATTATTACTACTATTACTAATATCTATAATATATATTTTTGTTGTTTTATTTTTTGTTTTATGTATGGGCCTAGATATAGGCTATGTATATATTTAATAATTAGAAATAATTATAATTTAATTGTAAAACATATATAATATAAGATAAAAAATATTATAGGCTAGGCTAGACCTAACCAATTATTGATACCATAATCTATAGATAAAAACATTCATTTGATAATTAAACAGCAGCTTTTCGAGTGGCAGTGCCGATAGAAAACTGCAGTGTTTTGGCACTGCCGCAGTGCCGATAGAAAATCGGAGCTTTTTTCGCACTGCGGCAATAATGCCGATAGAAAATAACAGTTTTTTCGCACTGTGGCAGTGCCGATAGAAAACAGCAGCTTTTTTGGCACTGCGGCAGTGCCGATAGAAAACAGCAGCTTTTTGGCACTGTCAAAGAATAACATTGTTAAGTACAGTGTAGTATTATGCACTGTGGTATGTAAAGTCAAAGATAATAAATAGCAGAAGGTAGAGCGGCTTTCCAATAAAGTGGAACATCCGTTCGAAAGGCATTGTGGGTACACGGAGAGCAATTTTACCCCGTCTTGCGGAGGCGCTATATAGTAATAATAAAGGCGCCGCTGTGGTTCATTTTTTTCCTGTAGTTTCTCCACTTAGTAAAATATTTAAATTTTACCCCATTCGCGGGAGGGCGGATGTTAAATTAATTTTAATGCAGTTCATTCTTCTGCTATTTAAGTTCTTTGGAAGTACTAAGCGGTGACGTAATGAAGCTGCTAAACATAGGGCTTATTTGACTGGTTCATTTCGTTGAGTACGAATTTTCGTTGAGTATTATTTTCATTCAACTGGTTCATTAAATAGACTTCGTTGACAACGAAAATTAATGTAATCAGTGTTAAGTTATCCATGTGACCAAAAAAAATATGGCCGATTGGTGAGTTTATAAACAACATTTGCGTTGATATAACTCAGATTAAATTACATAAAATAAAAATTATAATATTTACCCACATGAAGTCATAATTGTAGGCTAACAGAATTCAAAAACTGGATGAAAATATTTTTTTTACGAAAAACCCATACTACCACAAGTTAAAGCAATCTTGATTACGCAACATGTATCATGGTAATTATACAGCCATTTTGTCTTGTCAAGTTTACAAGTTTTTTATTCGACTGGTTGCCTTCGTTGAGTAGGATTTTACCGCTGCGCAGGTGGCCGTGGTTTCACAAAGAACGACCAGTCGATTACGGCCATAGACTGATTCTTTTACGGCCTGACCCCATAATTTTTAGACCTAAGCATTGCAGTACAGATTAGATGTGATTAATTTTATTTATGTGATGTAAGCAACTTGCGAAACATGTACTGATTTTCGGTGGTTTTTGGCTGTTTTTTCACTGTTATCTGATATCCAGCCTTAAAAAGTAGCGGAATGTGGTCGTGACATAGAAGCCCCAGTGTATGAGATATGAGAACATTTCTGCCAGCGGTTTCAGTGGAGATAGAGGAAGTTACGCGGTGGCGATTAAAAAAATCATTATATAGATACATATATATATATATCTGTCTCTTATACACA